CTGGTTGGCCTGACCAGCGAGACCAAGCACCACAAGGCCGTCTGTCAGCTGCTCAACACGCTGGTCATTGCCACTTTAGGCACGCATCGCTGGACAAGCTTGTCAGTTAACATGAACTGCAGCACGGAGGTCCACAAGGACCAGTGTAATGCCTCAGAGGACCACCTTCAAAGCCTGCAAATCGGACTGTCGCACTATGATCAGGGCCAACTCTGGATCGAGGATCCAAAAGGCTGCATCTACCTGGAGCATCACCGTGACGGTTTGCTACGAGGCAGCGCGCATAATACTCAGGCCACAGCCAGCCTGTTCCATGCGCAAAAGCACTATCATGCTACGCTGCCCTGGAGCAATGGTGACCGTGTGGTGCTCATTGCGTACGTTGCGCGACAACATGCCTGTGCAGTGCAGCGCTATGGTAGCATTTTGGAGGAGGCTGGCTTTGTCTTGCCACATCGTGAGGCGGATAGCATGCCAAGCAAGCCCAACTCCACTCCGGACGCGGCTGTGGATTTTGAACTTAGGGAGCAGAGTGAGCCTCGCGAGGCAGATGTGAAGTATACTTTTCTTGAACATAGTCTTCGATCCCGCACTAACTAGCCTGGGGGCTGAGCGCCGAGCGCCGTCACGGCAGCTGGCTGCTGGCCGCGGTACCCAGCATGTTTGCATTGAGCGAAATACTCAACTAGATTCCTGTAGGCCTCCCCTGACCGCAAACCCTATAAGAATTGTGCTATTCTGCATACCGACATCCGCGTACTCCTGTCATGCAATCAGTGCTCTGATTTGAGTCATTCTCGGGGGAAGGATGCCTGTTCTGGGACAGCCAGGCTAAGATGCCTGTCTGGACTCATCTGTGAGCCACTGCAGCGATCAGGCTACCCGAAAGCTTGCGCCTGCCCAATTGTGTGCAAAAACCTGATCGGTCAGTAGGTCGACTGCAGCGGTCCAGTGTGCATCCGTTGTATTACTACCCCGCGGTCCACTCTGACTCCTTTGAAGCCTGTGCTGTCCCTCAGGTCCCAACATGGAGTCTTCAATGACTGCGGCGCTCGCCTCAACCTCCACAAGGCCACTGCGCTCTAATGAGTGGACGAACACTGGTAGTGCTAGCCGCCACAGACGGCGTGGAGGCGGTCAGTACCGTCGCAGCATGAGTGCTAATCTTCAGGGCGGAGGTCAACTGGATCCTCCGTTGTTTGCTTGCCAAGTGGTGGGATGTGTGAGGCGCTATCGCAAGGGCTCCCACAAGCACTGCTGTGGACTATGCACAGTTGGTCATCACACTGCTCGATGCGACAAGGAGTGGCGCAAGGTGCAGCTCATGCCGCTTCGGCTTCGGGGTCAGATCAGCGAATGTGTGACTGCTGGCTGCAGCCGCGTTGCAGGCTACAGTCATGTGCATTGCTGCACTGACTGTGTGCAGTCCGGGGGTCGATTGCACACCGGCACCTGCCAACGACGTCAAGACCTGGCCTATGTGGTGACAGGAAATGCTAGCAGCTCGGTGCCGGAGCCAAGCATGGCAGCAGCTGGCATGACTGGGGTGGCGACAATGGCAAACTCGCCGGAGGAGGCGACTGCACTGCCTTCCCTTGATGGGGTTCCAAGTCGAGATGCTGGAGCTACCTCTACTGAGAGCAAAGCCTCTGAGTGTGAAGGGCACTGAAGCTATAGAAGTCTCTTCGGACGAGTCCTCTGAGGAATCTTCTGAGGATTTCGAGTTGATTTCGGTCACTGGTGGAGCGACTGCCACGATGACTGAAAGTGCTTCGGTAGCCGCTGAGCCCAAATCTATGCCTCGATCTGAGGCTGGATCTGGAGTTAGCCTGCACATGATGGACTAAATGTGCTTTTTGAGCTTTTCGAGCTTGTGAGTTCTGCTCAACAAATTTTGATGCGCATATGAGTTGTATGACTTGAGGGAACTGCCAACAGAGCAGTGCCATCATGAATGGCCGAGTGCTCGAAGCACCTGTCCCCGATTCGTCCAGCACTTCAGACGGTGCGACGTCCGCAATGCAATAATACTAATAATACTACTACTACTACTACTACTAGTACTAGTACTAGTACTAGTACTAGTACTAGTACTAGTACTAGTACTAGTACTAGTACTAGTACTATGTGAGTGCACATACATGTGTCAG